TCCCACAGGGTGCCCAGAGCACCTGGACTTCAAATTCTATATACAGAGATAGGATTTATTAAGAGATATTTTTGGAAAGGAATTGGTCTATGCAATGCCAGTTTGGAACCTTGAAAGACAGTTTAATGTTTCTACTAAGGAGATACAAAATCATTATTTTTAGGATTCTTTTCTGGTTACTCCCACAACTGACCACACTGCATGGTCTGGCAGGATGGAGAAGGCGGGTCTTCCTCTGTGGGGAGGTGACTGGGGAAGAGGGTTTGCTTTTGTTTAATTCCCTCCTTTCTAACAATGTAGCGCTGCTCTCATTCCATGGGCTGTTTGTATCTCTGTCTCGGCTTATAGTAGAAAATAATGTCGTATGGGAAATCAGCCTAGTGTCAATGTTTGGTGGGGGGGGGATTAAACGTCGATGTTTTTGTTACTGTCTTGTTGTTTGTTTGTTTTGTTTTTCGAGACAGGGTTTCTCTGTGCAGTTTTGGTGACTGTCCTGGATCTCGATCTGTAGACCAGGCTGGCCTCAAACTCACAGAGATTCGCCTGGCTCTGCCTCCGGAGAGCTGGGATTTAAGGCATGTGGCACGGCCGCCCGGCTGTTTGTTTTTTTAATTATCTCATTACCATGTTCACTTGGGGGCCGAAATGACAGAAGCTAGCCATATATGTTACATATGCAGGGTGACTCGCCGGGAGAAAGCTTAGGAGGCCAGGGTTTTCCAATCCTGCCTCCAGTCATAATCCTCACACCCTTAAAACAAAACAAACAAACAAAAAACTCACCACCACCACCCCAAACTGGGTTTCTCTGTGTAGCCCTGGCTGTCCTTGAATTCAGAGATCCACTTGCCTCTGCCTCCTGAGTGCTGGGATTAAAGGTGTGCGCCACCATTGCCAAACTTTGCTTTTTTTAAAAAAACATTTTCAGTTCTATTTTGTGGGGAGTGAGCATGAGCAAAGGTCAGAGAACATGGCCAGGTGGTAGTGGCGCACACCTTTAATCCCAGCACTTGGAAAGCAGAGGCAAGTGAATGTCTGTAAATTCAAGGCCAGCCTGGTCTACAAAGCAAGTTCCAGGATAGCCAGAGCTGTTAAACAGAGAAACCCTGTCTTGAATATTTATCCATGACACTCCAGTGCTCAGGCACTCTGGACTTGGGGTGCTACTCACAGAAAAAACTGGTTAGAATACCTGGGACTGTGGGGACACAAAGGGAGCTGCTGCCTCAGGTGCAGACACGCAGGGCCATTCAGCAATCTGTGGCAGTCAGGACCTAGAAGAGGGCAGTGAAGGGAAGGCAACCAGCCAATGTGAGGGAGTATCATTCTCTCTCTGCCAGTGGAAACCCTCATGTGTGCTGGCTTGTCTGACCCCACCTCTCCTAGGCGGGGGGGGTTGGTGGTGTCATCATTCTACAATCTCTTTCAACAATTTCAGGACCAGACCAGGAAACAGTCTTTATTCTGGTGTCTGCTTCACTGACTCAGATTATGGCTTTCTGAGCCTCACTTTTCCCACGTGAAGGGGAAAAAAAAAAAAAAAAAACTTCCAACCTCGGGATGCATTTTGCTTGGTTTGGGACTGTGTTGTTTAAAGGAAGATTTTTGGTTGGGGAGGGTCTGACAGTGCTGTAGCCACAAAGACCAGGAAGTCCCAGCTACGTAGTTCCCTTCAGAAACTACATTTCCCGACATGCAAAGTGGGCGGGGTGGGGGACGTACCCGCACGTCTGTCCTGGACGGATTTAAGGACTACAACTCCCAGAGTACCACTCTAGCTTTACAAGGCGGAAAGTCCTGAACCAGGAACCGGATATGACCTGTTGCTCCGGCGAAACGCTGGTGAGATGGTGAGCCTCGGGGTGCGGTACCTCTGTGATTTTGGGATATCAGGGGTGAGGCCTGGAGACTCCTTTGGAGTTGGGGGGCTTGGGCTTTCCGAACCCGGATCGCTCTGCGGACCGCTGGTGGACAGGTGACACGGGCCCGGCGCGGCTTCCTAAACCGGAGAGCCACTTCTAGTCAGCCCCCGTGTACAGCTGCTGAACGAATGAGAAGCTTGGAGTGTAAACCGTCTGCGCGGACCCTCCTTTAGTGCGCTCGCAGGTCGAGTCATCTCGCCAGCTGAGCCCTCCTTTTTCTCCAGGCCACAGGGACAGACCAAGCGGTGGGGTTTGGCCTCGTCGCCATCAGCCTGATTATCTTCACCTACTACACTACTTGGGTGATTCTTCTGGTATGTGCCCTCCCATCTGCTCCCCCCCCCCCCCAGTCCACCTTCATCCTGCCCTGGATCTCTTAACAAACCGACCCCTAACACGACTTAAGCAGCTCTGCATGCCAAGCACTGCTGGATGCTTGGCCTGCCCTAATTTCACGAAATCTCCACTATGATTGCTGATGGTGTCTATATTTTATAGATGAGATTGAGACGCAGGGAGAAGGGTAAGGCGCAGCCTCTCAACTGCTGTACTGTGAGATTAGCCCCACCTCCTGGGTGTAGCAATCGCCAGTGGTTTTTATTAACACCTTGAGGCTTTCTCTCTTTTTTTAATGTGGGAAAATTTGTTAGTTATTGCCTAAAAGTGCATTGTGTTTGAAAAGGGGGATCTTGCAGTACTTAGTATCCTTTAGAGAAAAAAATTAGGGGCCTGGAGAGATAGCTCAGTGGTTAAGAGCAATGGCTGCTCCTCCAGAGAACTGGGGGTTCAAGTCCCAACACTCCCATGGCCAGTTACAACCGTCTGTAACTCCAGTTCCAGGAGATCCAGCCAAAGTGCCTGAAACAGCAGTGCTGCTTGAGTGTTAGGAGCTGGAGATCCAGGGCTTGGATGAGGTATACCTGCATGCATGTGCACATATATATAAAATCAAAAAATAAAATAATTTAAAAAGACCTAGAGTACCTGCATTCCAAAGGCAGAGGACGGTGGGTCTCTGTGAGGCCAGCCTGGTCTACAGAGCAAGTTCTGGGTCAGCCAGGGCTATGTCATGAGACCCTGCCTCAGGAAACAAAAAGAATGATTTCCAGCACTCAGAAGGCTAAGGCAGTAGTTCCAGGCTACCTGAGATAATATAATGAGACTTGTCAAAATACGTATCCATGCCGGGCGGTGGTGGCGCACGCCTTTAATCCCAGCACTCAGGAGGCAGAGGCAGGCGGATCTCTGTGAGTTCGAGGCCAGCCTGGTCTACAGAGCGAGATCCAGGAAAGGCGCAAAGCTACACAGAGAAACCCTGTCTCGAAAAAACCAAAAAAAAAAAAAAAAAAAAAAAAAAATACGTGTCCATACCCAGAAGAGCCAAGGCTGGGAACCCCTTGGGGATTCCTCATAAATTCTTTGCTAGGCTGGGGATGCCATCAGGGCAGGTCCTCAGTACCCAGTGCTGTCAGTGGGTTCAGCCCCTTGGACAGAGGCGGTGGGATGGCTTCCCCTTTGGGCTGGGTAAGATGAGCAGTACTCACCGAGCTCTTCCCTCGGTGGCAGCCGTTCATTGACAGCCAGCATGTCATCCACAAGTACTTCCTGCCTCGCGCCTACGCTGTCCTCATCCCACTGGCCACAGGCCTCCTGCTACTCCTGTTTGTGGGTAAGTCTCCCGTTCTCCAAAGGTCTCCTGATCCAGGGCAGGGTGTCTCGAAGGCTGGCCACTCACCCCGGTGTGCTTCCACACTTTGGCACTTGCTGTACATCTGCTTAGAAGCTACTTGTCCCCAACTCTCCCTGGGGTTTTCCTGTTCCTCCTTAAAGTCCACAGGCAGAAACCCCTCTGGTCCTCCCAGTGCTTCAGGCTCTAGGGGCAGTAAGGAAACGCCCCCCCTTTCCTGTCCCACCCTTCTCTTCATCTTCACTGTTCACCCCTCTTGTCACCTTGCATCTCTTACTGCTTCTGTGGGTTGGGGACTATGTCTTCATCATGACAGCGTTCTAGGCTCTAGCACCGGAGCGGCCCTGGGCTAGTGCTAGCAGAGTGGCTCGGAGGATGGATGATGGGATGGGGTGCTGCTAGGTAGGAGGGCAGATATATGAGTAGATGGATGGGTAGATCATTCCCCATGAAACCTGAAGCCTTCAACAAAGCACCTTGTGTTCACTTGGTGATGGTTGACTCTCCGTGAGTGGCTGTGTGGCTTAAGGAATGACTGGGAAGGCACGCCTGCAGGGTGTTTGTTTGGGAGCCCGGCCTTGCATGTGGGTCACCTTGCCCTGGTCGTCCAGCCTTCACTTGAGTCCTCCCAGTCCTTTCTCTCTGTGTTCCAGGATTGTTCATCACCTACGTGATGCTGAAGAGCCAGAGGGTGACCAAGAAGGCTCAGTGAAGGTCCAGCAGGGATGAGACTACCAGAGCCTTCTCCATAGCTCCTCCAGGGAAGGGACCAAGGGTCACAGCCTGCAAGACAGTCATCCTGGCTGTGCTGAAACCCTCTTCAGGAGGCGGAGCTGCTTACAACTCAACTCTGACAAACTGGAGCCCTCCTCTCTTACTTGTCCTTCCAGAAGTCGAGAGGAAGGTGGATTGGGACCTCTCCCTCGCCCCCTTCAGGCTCAGGGCCTGAACCTTGCTGGTCCTGCCCACCAGTCAAAGCTCCCTGCCACTCCCACTGGGTTCCGCTCCCGGTTTTCCCCTTGTCATGTGCTGATGGACAGAGCAGGTTCCGGTTGTGTGCAGCCTCCCTGCCTCTGTTCAAACCCTGTCCCTTCACACGGCAGCTCTTCTGAGTCTGACACTGTCCAGACCCCGTGAGGACTTCTGGACCCAGAAAGCCCTAGGGAAAGACTGACAGACCACAGAACCCTGAGACATCCAGGCAGCCGCCCCAGGTCCCAGCTGGCCTGTTTGGGAAAACTTACAAATAAATGTTGATCATGGTGTTTATCTCTCTGACGTCCTTGCTTTGGGGAGACTGGCTGGAGGAGCTTCCGAGATTGCCTAGTTGAGCAGTGAGGGTACCTCAGGTGCTGCCTCTGTGCTGGCCTTATGCTAGACATAGGGTCAAGCAGGGACTGGGACAGACATGGTCCTGACTGGGTAAAAGTCACAGCTGGGGAGTCAACAGAAGCCTGGCACACTTTAAGTCTTGTGGAGCCCAGGCTGGCATTAAACTACGTAGGTGAGGATGGCCTTGAACTTCTGATCTTTTTTTGTCTCCATTTCCCCAGGGCTGGGACTCCAAGGTTGGGACACCACACCTGAGGTCTGAATGTAGGGTTCATGTGTGCTCGGCAAGCTTGTGTCCCTCACCGTGGCTCCTTCCCCCGTCTCATCTACATAACCCCAAGTTGTATCAGTTCTCACTCCCCTTTTCTCATGCTCTCTCCAGCCCCCTTTTGGATACAGAGCCACCTCTCCCTAAAAAAGTGAGGGTCTCAGCTCTGCGCTTCCCTACCACTCTGGCTCCTGATGGCTTCTCAAAAGTACCTATCGGGCTGGAACCATGTCTTAGCAGTTCTCCAGAGTTCAGTGCTAACGCCCACATTAAGTAACTTCCAAATGCCTGCCATTCCAGCCACTGACCCGTGTAGATGCCACTGCCCCCCCACACGTATGCACACACATGGGTAGGTAATTTTAAAGATGAATAAACATTCTGAAGCCCGCACATCTAACATCCTTCTCACCTTCCCCTCCAGTTCCTCCGGGTCGTCCCTCCCACTGTCCCAAGGCTCATGACAGCGACTATAATTACTACAGCCACTGTGGTGTTTTACTTGTGGGGGCACGTCAAGGCCTGTGCACCCCCACTCCCGTCATTCCGATCCTTGCTTCTCAAGCACCAGTTTGTGCAGGGCACTGAGGCAGGAAGTGAGGTCCATGTGGCTCCTGCCCTGGTGGCACTCCCATTTTAGGAGGTTTGATGTAATAAACCAATACATGAGCAAGACAATCTCTGCTCATGTCAAGGGTGATGAGAATAAAGGTCATGTGGTCCAGAGTGTGGGGGAAGTGCATAGAGTCCTGCAAGGTGGCGAGAAGGATCAAGGCAAGTAAAAGTCCAGACAGGAAGGGGAAAGCCTAGAGGAGGAAGCTTGCAGCGGGGCTCAGGGCAGGCAGGTGTTTGGAGTCAAGTCTAGAGCAGGGCAGATGGCCTGGGCCACGGTGGGGTGTTTGAATTCTGTTCTACTGCCAAGACAAGTCACTCGAGGCTTAAAGTACCAGAGTGACATCATCCTGTCTATGCTTTTAAAAGATCAGGCTAGAACTGTGTCCCTCCAGCTAGTTCACCACGAAATCTCCGGAATCTGGCTCCGCTCTGGCCCCCAGTGGGTGCTTCAAATCATACGGAAGGATGTGCTGACTTCTGTACGACCTGGCGATAGTCATTTCTTTCTATGCGTTTAGTTTCTTCACTAGAGAGACAGTCAATGGGAATTCCATGTCTACAAAGATCCGAGGCTCACGACTTAGGCTACCTGCCTCCAGAACCAGCACCAGAAAACCACATAGTCGGTCCAGAAGGAAATTGAAAGGAGAGCTCGTTCTCCAGCATCCCAGCCAATGCCCAGCGGCCCCGTCCAGCCAGGGCGAGAGTTCGGAAGATGTTTCATCAGCGGAGGTGGAACCCTCAGGCAAAAGCCAGAGCTCCATTCCCAGATTGGGCACAACCGTGACCAGAAAGCCCATTCTCCGGCAGCCCAGTCAACGCTCGGCGGCCCCGCCCGGCCAGGACCAGGGTCCCGCGGATGCTGCAGCCGCGGAGGTGGGATCCGCCGGCCAAGGCCAGAGCCCGCTTCGCGGATTGGGCGTAACCATGACAGGAGCCTTGCGATTGGCCTTTCGCAATGCAGAGGTGGAACTTGATTCCTGCACCGGGGCCTCGGGGACACAGCAAAAGCCAGAAAAGCTGCAGCTGGGGGCGATGGCCGCTCCAAGCCCTGGGCCCCGCGAGGTAGATGCGGACCGAACCGGGACAGAAAAGGGAAGGGTGAGTGAGCAGGTCCCGCCTTCCTCTTGGCCAGAGGTGTGGACACGCCCCCATCTCAGTCAGGGTGGGACTTTGCTCTGGAAAAACCAGGACACGCCCCACATGGGCGCAGGTATAAAAGGGGTGGTGATCAGGTGGGTGTCTCTCCTCCCCAGGTCTTCCTCAGTTTGCTCCTCAGGAAAATGGGGATGATAAGTTCTTCCATAAGGCTGTTAAGAGCTCAAGCTCTCAGCTTTGAGCATATGATGGGTCTCCACTAGCAGTGGGTCAGCTGGTATGATTTCAGCATCCATTTGACCCTTCTTGCTGGCACAGAAGAACACAGCACAGAGGAGGAACAGGATGGATCTGCCAGCATCCTAGCGCCTGCTGGCAAGGCTTCATGTGAAGGCAGCTGAGGCACAGCAGTAGCCGATAACGTGTAACAGACCTTACACGCTGCCAGGGGGAAAAGGCCCGATTGACCTAAGGTCAGGCAGACTCAACTGGGCTTGACTATAGAAGGCATGCTCTGGGCAGATGCAGGACAGGGAAATGGATGGGATCAAGACCCATGATGTGAAAGGCACATAGAATAAATAAAAAAGAACGTGGGGAAAAAAAAGCACGCTCTGTCTACATCCTATTTGGATACCAGGTGCCAGGTGCTGTGTGGCCCCTCAACACCTGGGGCGTGGCTATAGCATTATCCCTGTGTTTTATGGCTGAGGAAGAGAAAGATAAGAAGATTTCGAATGAGTGAAAGTAGGATTTGAACCCGTGTGCGTTTTCCTTTGGAGACACCACTACATGCTCTTTGTTTCCTGTACCTCTTCCCATCAGACCCAGGCCCCCTCCCTGGAGGCTGGAAACAGGCCAATTGCCTCAGGGAGTCACCGTGGCTTCTTGTTGAGCCTTCGAGACAAGCAGAATCGAGTGGGCCTGTTTGAGATCAATCCAGGGCATGAACTGCACAGAATGACGCAGATGTTGCAGGAAGGGCTCTGGGCTGCCACCCAGGTCTCCATGGACAACCCACCCAAGGTGAATGGCCAGTCCATCCCATGCCACTCAAACCCCAAGAGGGAGACCCCGCTCGCTATCTGTCTTGCTAATACTGTGACACTGGGGATCAGAGAGACCTACAAAAAAGGGGGAGGCAGGGATGTGTGTCAGGAAGCAGAAATTCTGGGGTGGGAAGCTGGAAAGCCTAGGAGGTATGAAGGGACTTCCTGCTTCAAGCGGTGGATGTGTGCTTCAGGTGGGCCTCTCTCTCTCTCTCTCTAGGCCTCAGTATCCCCATCTGTATAATGGGTGGAGGGGTTACTACCCACTGGTTACTGAGACCCCCCCCCAGGCCCTGCTAGCTTGCAGAGTTAACAAGGGCCCCTACCCCCACCCAGCCTAACCCAGCCCATCCTCCCTGGATCAGGCTGGGCCACGCTGGCTCAGCAGACAGGGTCACCTAACTGCCAACTCAGCAACCCAGCAGGCGGGTGAGCCTGTATGTTGTCTGTGTGTGCACAGTCCAACCAGGCTGGAGGAAATTCCCTAGACCACAGCCTGACTTCATCACCTGCAGAAAATCTCCTATGGCTCCTTGAGACTGAGTACAGCCTGAAGATACCGTTGGTGGCCGGGCTGCCTGTCCAGTCTCATCCATTTCAGTTCTGGGCTCTAAACACCTGAATCCTCTTACCCTGCCCTGGCTGCCAGTACTGAGGACCCTGTTTCTCCAATCCATCCCCTTCAGGTTTCTGCTCAGAGGTCACCTTGCCCAGTCTGGTTCTCCTGGGCACACCTGGCAGATCACTTGACTTTAGGGGCATTTCCTTCTGCTGGGGTGTAATCTGGTTGTACACAGCCAGCATGAGTGTTTGAAAGCATGTAGCAGGCTTGAACTCACAGCCTGGTGCTGAAGACTCACCCATGGGGCCCTGCCTCAGGTCTCCGCCATCCTTCCTCCAGCCCTGGGTTAACCAGAAGCCCAATTGCTAGCAAGACTCATAGGGTCCCTGTTTGATAAAGTAATGGACAAGGCCAGGTGTTGTACTCAAAATCTCCGGGTAGGTGATGGCAGACCCTGACTTTCTCTGAACCCCTCTACCCACCCCTGCAGGGACCTCCCACCCAGAAGGATTTCTCGGAAGTCATGACCCAGGTTCACCAAGAGGTAAGGAGCCCAGCAGGAATTGGAGTCTGCCTTGGCGCCTTCCTCCTTAGCTGTGAGTGGCAGTGATGGCTTGTTCTCAGGACCTTGCCGGACCCTGCCTCTCCGGAACCAGGACCCACGTGGGTGGACTCCCTCGGGGCTACTCTCTCCCCTACAGGGCTTCGAGCTGGGAACCCTGGCCGGTCCGGCTTTTGCACGTCTGAGGCAATACCTAGGTCTGACTGAAGAAGACTATCAGGCTACTCTGGGCCCCGGTGGTCCCTACCTTCAATTTATCAGCACCTCCAAGAGCAAAGCCAGCTTCTTTCTGTCGTGAGCTTGCAGCCAGGGTGGGGCGGGGTGGGGGCTCGGTTCCAGGCTGGCGGAATGGCCATGGGCAGAGAGGAGCAGGGCCGGAGGAAGGTGGGATGAAGCGAGGGAGGGTGGCCAGACACATCCACGCTCATGCAAAAGCAGGGGCACGAAAGAGACTGGGTCAGAACTGCTCCAGCCAAGCCTGGACAGTGACTGCTCTTTCTCACCGGCAGCCACGACCAGCGCTTCTTCCTGAAGACCCAGAGGCGCCACGAGGTGCAGGTGCTGCTCGCCCACCTGCCCCGCTACGTGCAGCACCTGCGGCGGCACCCACACACGTTGCTGGCACGGTTGCTGGGTACGCGGCTGGAGGAGGGTCCTAAACCGCAAAGTGCCTGGGGAGGGAGGGGTCTGTGGACGGGGCGGAGCCCAAAGTGGCCGATTTGGGATGGATCGTCTCGGGCCCGTGTTTCCGGGTAGGACCTCACTGATTCACAAGGGACACAGATTCAGAAGGGAGTCTGGGACGGGACTGGAGTGACAGGCTCAGGAATGCGGTGGGTCTTAAGAAGGATGCGTGGCCTGGAGCAGGGAACTCCGGTCACATGGATCCGCGATTGCGGAGTTAGAGCCTTCACCTGGTGCCTTGTCCTCTTCCAGGGGTGCACAGTCTGCGCGTGGCTCGCGGGAAAAAGGTGGGTGTGGCACAGGCGAGGTGGCTCAGCAGCTGGGGGCTGCTGGAGGGTGAGATCCGGGCTTCCCTCACTCGCCATCCCTGTCCCCAGATGTACTTCATCATCATGCAGAGCGTCTTCTACCCTCCCAGCCGCATCTCTGAGAGGTGAGACCATCTGAAGCGGATACACGGTTCCGATGCCACAGTGAAATCTGAGGCTGCGATTCTTACCCGCTAGACCCCAAATAGGCCCAGGAAGAACTGATCCTCCCAAGATCCAGTAGGCAGGAGACAGAGCTCTCCATCACCCACTTCTCTTAAAAATGCGTTAAGTTGTTTGCGTTCTTTTCTCTTTGAGGGGCCAGGATTGGGACAGAAGCCAGTGTTTTGTACATGTTAGGCTCACCACTGAGCTACATCTCCCTCCAGATCTTTTTTGTTTAATTTTTAGTTTGAAACAGTCTCCGTAGTCCAGGTTAGTTTCCAGCCTTCCATTCTCTCGCCTTATCTCCCCAGTACTGGGATCACAGGCCACTGTACTAGCCACCTTCATTTTACAGTTGATAAACTGAGGAAGTCTCATAGGATCAGAGAACAGGACAGGTGATATGGTTCAGTCAATCAAACCACCTGCACGCGAGCCTGAGGACCCGAATTCAGTCCCCAGTACTCACACGGTAGAAAGCCATGTCCAACTCTCTCAAGTCATGGACAGGCACCATGCACTCATATGCACATAGAAATAAATAAATGGCCGGGCAGCGGTGGCACACACCTTCAATCCCAGCACTCAGGAGGCAGAGGCAGGAGGATCTTTGTAAATTCAAGGCCAGCCTGATCTACAAAGCAAGTTTCAGAATAGTCAGGCCTGTTACAGAGAGAAACCCTGCCTCTAAATAAATAAATAAATAAATAAATAAATAAATAAATAAATAAATAAATGTAGTTGAAATTGGAGAACAGATCCACCCTACTGGTGAGATCCTTTCCTGGCAGACAAGATACTGAGAAACAGGCAAGGCAGGGCTTATGCCTGGGTTGGACTTGCAAAGGTCTGAGTTCAAATCCTTGTTCTGTTCTTTGCTTACCCTGTGACACAGGCAGGTTAAAGAGATGCTTGCGCCTCTATTTCTGCATCTCTAACATGGGCACAGTCTAAGGGGGTGCTGAGCCTCTATTTCTGCATCTCTAACATGGGCACAGTCTAAGGGGGTGCTGAGGTTTGGAGGTGTCAGGAAGTGTCATCCCTAGTGATTTAGCCCATACAGGAACAATCACATCTGGGAAGCTCTTACTTCCAGTGATTTCTGTGTGTCCCCTACCTCCTCCAAGGTATGACATCAAGGCCTGTGAGCTGAGCCGCTGGGTGGAGCCAGTTCCCGAGGGCAGCCCCCTTCTCCTGGTGCTGAAGGACCTCAACTTTCAGGGAAAGACCATTAACCTGGGTGAGTCACATGATGTCGCTATCTCCTCTTCCTCCACTCAGGGTGAGCTTTGGGAGCGGGTCCCTAGTACTTTGCCCAGATTCTTAGCAGCCCAGGACTTTGATCCTTGCTCTAGACTCCCACAAATGGAGTGCATGGCAAGTCACCGGCCGGGGATGGCAGTGACGTTCCCACTTTTGGGGCAAGTGCAGGTGCAGCCACCACAGAAGGACTCAGCTGGGGTCTGGTGCTCTCACAGGACCCCAGCGGAGCTGGTTCCTCCGCCAGATGGAGCTGGACACCGCCTTCCTGCGGGACCTCAATGTGCTGGACTACAGTCTCCTGGTGGCCTTTCAGCTTCTCCACAAAGACGAAAAGGGCCAAAAGGACCGTGGCAGCATTTTCCGTACAATCAGGTGAGCCCTGCCTCCATGAGTGATGGCAAGACGGGTGTGGAAAGAGAGGTGTAAGTGTAAGACTCCCTTTCCTCTGATGGCATGGCCCAGGCTTGGAGGCTGGGAAGTACTCATGTGTGTGTGTGTGTGTGTGTGTGTGTGTGTGTGTGTGTGTGTATGCTGGAGGCAAGGGACCCAGACTGACCACAGCAGAGGACAGAACTGAAGGGCCCTAACTGGACAAGGTTTATTTTGGTTTTTCGAAACAGGGTTTCTCTGTGTAGCTTTGCGCCTTTCCTGGATCTCACTTTGTAGACCAGCTGGGATTAAAGGCGTGCACCACCACCGCCCAGCCGGACAAGGTTTTAATGATGGTTTGAGCACTCTGCTATTTTCTGGCAGGACCTATGGGGCCACCAGAGGTTTCTGAGCAGGGACAAGACCCATTTAGTTTTGTGCCCTCTTACCCAGTCATTCCATCCCTAGACCTCTGAAGTCACCGCCACTGGCATCATCGTGTCCTGTGTAGAAGTAGCTGTCACTCTGTCCATGTTGACTAGAATTGTTTCTCACCTTCCGGGTGTGACAAACAAGCTCAGAGCAGGCGAGGGATGTCAAAAGGCTCCTAATCCCATAACAGTTCTCCCAGGCTCACCCCTGTGCTTGAACAGAAAGGTCATTTAAGAGGCCAATCCTGCTGAATGTGGTCTTTAAAGCAGACCTTTAATCCCAGCACTCGGAGACAGAGGCAGGTGGATCTCTGAGTTCGAGGTCAGCCACTGTCTGAGACCCTGTCTCAAATAGCACCAACCCTGAATCCAAGCCCGTTGGTCTCATGCATGGCCGGGGAAGTGAAAGAGAGGTTGCCCTCAGCTTTCATGCAGTTTCTGTTCCTGCTCCATCTATGGCAGAGGCTTTGGGGTGAAGGAGATTGGAGCAGGATCCAGACTCCCCACAGTCACGGCCCAAGCATGCCTGGATCAGATGTTGAAGGAACATCCATGGAGCAGTGTCATTCAAGCCAGCTCTTGCCCACTGCCAAGTCATCATGTTGAGTATTTCCCAATAGGCTCTTCATCGCTGCCCCACACCTTCCTAGCTTCCAGGTTAATCCCGCCCAGGCTCTTCTGCCACCCATTTTGACTGGTCCATACTGTAATGGGGCTCGTCTCTAATTGGTTGTCTTTTCTCCAAGAGCCCGCCCTCAGCATAGCTCTATAGCAGTGGTTCTCAACCTGTGGGTCTTGACCCCTTTGGGCTGCATACCAGATATCCTGCATATCAGATATTTACGTTATGTTTCATACCAGTAGCAAAGTTACAAAGTAGCAGTGAAAATAATCTTATGGTTGGGGGCCACCACAATGTGAGAACTGTATTAAAGGGTTGCAGGGTTAGGAAGGTTGAGAACCACTGCCCTATAGCGTCCACTCCAGGACAAGGTAGAAAAGTTGAACTTGCTTTTCCTGGGATTTGGCGACTGGGGAACCTGCGCCTAAGAGAGATCACAGGTCTACAAACTGGGGCTAGACTGTTCTCGGTTCTTCAGCTCTATGAGCCTAAGGCTTCTACAATTGGACTATCCACAAACAGAGGTTTAGGAGATTCAAGATGAGGGCCAGGTTGCATGACCAAAATGCTTGAAATTGGTCTTCCCCAACAGAAATATAATTCAATCTACAGCCCTATGTCTCATTCATAGGCCACAAGTGGCTGCTGAGTCTTTGAAATATAGAATTAATTTTTTCCCTGGTAGCCTCATTTATAAAGTTTTTTTTTTTTAAAGGGGGGCGCTGGTAGCTGGGCATGGTAGCACATGCCTTTAATCCCAGCACTCGGGAGACAGAGGCAGGCAGATCTCTGTGAATTCGAGGCCAGTCTGGTCTATAGAGTGAGTTCTAGCACAGCCAGGTCTGTTACACAGAGGAACCCTGTCTTAAAAGGGGGGGGGGACCAAAAATTTAAAAAATAATATTGAGGGGGCTGTAGAGATGGCTCAGTGGTTAAAAGCACTGACTGCTCTTCCAGGGGACCTGTGTTCAATTCCCAGCACCGACATGGCAGCTCACAACTGTCTATAACTCCAGTTCCAGGGAACCCAACACCCATGGCAAAATACTAATGCACATAAGATAAAAATAAATAAATGTAAAAACCCATACCTTTAAAAATAATAATATTGAGCCGGGCGGTGGTGGCGCACGCCTTTAATCCCAGCACTCGGGAGGCAGAACCAGGCGGATCTCTGTGAGTTCGAGGCCAGCCTGGGCTACCAAGTGAGTCCCAGGAAAGGCGCAAAGCTACACAGAGAAACCCTGTCTCGAAAAACCAAAAAAAAAAAAAATAATAATATTGAATCAATATATTTGATTATGCCGCATGTGGTGGCACACGCCTTTAATTCCCAGCACTTGGGAGGCATAGGCAGGTGGATCTCTGAATTCAAGGCCAGAATTTGAGTGAGTTCCAGGACAGCCAGGGCTGTTACACAAAGAAACCTTGTCTCAAAAATCCAAAAAAAAATTTTTTATTTTATTTTATTTCATCAACCTAAAAGTTGATGAGATCGTTTGCATTATTTTTCAATACTGCCTTTTGTAAAGATTTTATTTTTAAATTACTGTGTGAATATGAGTGCACGGCCTGCGGAGGCCAGAAGATGGCGATGAATCCCTTGGAGCCGGGGATTCAGGAGTTACAGGCAGTTTTGAGGGGCTCTTGGTTTATGCTGGGAGCTGAACTCTGGTCCTCTACAAGAACAGCAAGATGGCTGAGCCACCTCTCCAGCCCCTCACTGCTGACTTTGAAGTTCAGTTTATATTGGAGCCTGATGCTTCCCATGACACTGGCTGTATTTCAAGGGCTCAGCAGCCACTGTGGCCAGTGCCTGACGGTCAAGTATGCTATTCCTCAGCCTCCTAGGCTCGCTGGTTGGGAGGGGACGGCTTTATCCTATTCCCACACCTAGGTCCGTACATGGTGCTCCAAACTCGTGGGGGGCGGAGGACCAGAACCGCCGGCTGCTGCCCGACGTCCCCAACGCCCTCCATGTCTTGGACGGGCCAGACCAACGTTATTTTCTGGGCTTGGTGGATCTGACCACCGTCTATGGGCTTCGCAAACGGCTGGAGCATCTGTGGAAAATGATGCGCTATCCAGGCCAGTCCTTCTCCACGGTCAGACCGGCTCTCTACGCCCGTCGCCTCTGTCAGTGGGTGGAGATGCACACCGAGTGACTCGACTCCCACCTGTCTGCGTTCTCCTCATCTGGACAAAGGGCATGAGCCCACAACAGTTTTCCAGCGATACCCAGGAGCTAGCTGCAGTTTCTGCTTTAGCCACAGGAGGGCAGCATCCCCTAACTAATGCTGTAACTACTCAGCCCTATCCGGTGATGGTGCTGTACCCTGTTTAGAGAAAGGACTCTCCCCCCCCCCCCTTAGCTCATTTACTATTAAAAAAATGTTGGTATTCTCTTTTTACAGACAGAGAAATGGAGGCTCATGGGGTGAAGGGGGTGAGAGAGACCATTCAGCAATAAATGCTGTAAGCAGCCTGCACCATGCCTTGGACCTGGGAACTTAAGAGTCTTGACCACCCAGCTCCTGTAGCCAAAGCCTCACACTCTGGAGAGGGGAAAGTGGAGGCTTTGCCCCCTTGTCCCAATGGGGGAACAAGTCCAGAGGGTTTGTTTTTGTTTTTGTTTTGTTGCTGTTGTTTTTCGAGACAGGGTTTCTCCGTGTAGTTTTGGTGCCTTTCCTGGATCTTGCTCTGTAGACCAGGCTGGCCTTGAACTCACAGAGATCCATCTGGCTCTGCCTCCTGAGTGCTGGGATTAAAGGCGTGCGCCACCACCGCCCGGCTAAGTCCAGAGGTTTAAGGTGCAAGTTAGGAGCAAGACTAGCCCCGGACACTAGGCCTCCCAACGCCCAGCTCTGATTAAGGCTCCACAGTTCCCCTCTGGGAGACAAGTAGAAGATGAAGCCGAGGCAGGCCTCCTGGAGTTGGCTGGGAGGTGACCTGTCACCGTTGATCTTGAATGACCTCTCAGTCCCCTGTCAAATGAGGAAGCTTCAGTGGCTAGCCCAAGGGTTTTAGACTGGCCTGTAGAGTCCCTTCCTCTGGGAAACCAGCATGGCCTCTGACCCCAATCTGATCCAGTTTTGCTCAATGGCCTTTTCTTCCAAGGTGCTGTAGAGCCTGGCTGTGTTTCCCAGGCATGGTGCTAACCCCTGCCTCCCTGCTCTAATGTGTGAAGTAGAAATGGTGCACACAGACCTCAGGAACTCATTCGACACTGCCTGGGCAGCTGCCCAAAACAGGCTCTCTCCTGGGATACACACAGTTGGGAAGAAGGCTAGGCCCAAAGTCCCAGGAAAAGGAACCATTACCAAATCACCTCACAGATGGTGTCAGGAGGGAAGGGGCCTTATCTTCTAAGCTGAGACCAGAAGGGTCAGACGTGTCCCTGTTAGGTTCCAGGCCAAGAGCACAGTGAAGGACCTGGAATTTGGGAGAAAGTAAACATCTTAGCAAGAAGTAGCATTGTGGGGGGTGTGGGGAGGGGTGTTGAGGGATGCCCCCCCCCCCCCAGGACTGGCCGGCTAGGTTCCTGGAAAAGCCTCCCAATAACTCTTCTATTGGCCCATCGGATATGGCCAGACTTTGAAAAGTGGCTGGTTGCGGACAGGGCCAGGAAGGGAGGGCAGAAGAGGTTAGCCTCAGTGGAACATTCCAGGAATTGGTACTTTTCAGACAGACACATGGCCTGTTCTGGGTGTTCTTGGACGATTACTCTGTGTAGGGATTTGTTCTTGGTTGGCAGGAAGTTGAGAAAGTGTGTTCAGCTTCTGATGCCACCCACAGGTGTCCGGCTGGGGATGTAGGAAGGTAGAAGGGGCCAGAACAGGAGCTGGGATCTGCTCCCACATCTTCTGGGGTCTGGCTCCCAGGGGATTGACCTTGAACTCAGAGCCCTGAGGTCACACACAAAGGTGACAACTTTGCCTCTACCTGGGAACCTTGACAGGGCCTGAGGATGTGTGGGGAGTGACCTAAGACCTCAGAGACCCAGGCCTGCCGGCTCTCCTGCCTTGTTTTGTATGTGTGGGTACCATGTGGGTGCTGAAGGTGATAACATCAGCATCTGGAAATGAGTCTAATGGGCACATGGGCATGAGAACAAGGGAACTGATTCACAGAGTGACTTCTTGGTGCACAGCTGGGGGCTGGGGTGCCTAATGCCTGTAATCCCAGCATTCATGGGGCTGAGCAGGGTCCAAGACTACCCGGGAGTGTGCTGGTGAGTTTCCATCAACTTGACACAAAGTAGGGTCATTTGGAAAGAGGGAACCTCAGTGGAGGAAATGCCTCCATCATTGACCTATAGGTATATCTTTGCGGGTATTCCTTCCTCTCTTCCTTCCTTCCTTTTATTAATGAGTGATGTGGGAGTGCCTAGCCTACTGTGGGTGGTGTCTCCCCTGGGCAGGTGGTATAGGAAAAGTGGTTGAATGTGAGTCTGAGGAACAAGCCAGTGAGCAGCACCCTCCATGGCCTCTGCTTCAGTTCCTGCCTCCACGCTCCGGCCTTGAGTCCCCGCCCTGACTTCTTCCCTCAGTGAAGACTGTGATGCGGAACTGCAAGCCGAAATAAACCCTTTGTCATGTTGCTTTTGGTCCTGGTGTTCGTCACAGCAACAGAAAGCAGACTGGGACAGCCACATAGGAAGATCCTGTCTGATATGATAAAATAAACTTGGGGTGTACCATTGGAAAGGGTCCTCCTGAGGAGCTGAGGTTTGAGCTGAGTGACAGGGAGTCCCACTAGGCATGTGGCTGGAGCAGCCCGGGGGGAGAATGCAGGAAATGCAAGGTCCTGCCATAGGAATGCGCTGGATGTGACAGCGGCTTCCATGAGGGATTCCATTCTTGTCCCCAGAGGCCCAGAGGCCAGTGAGAGGGCAGTAGGAACTCCACAAAAACCAAGCTGAAGTGCCTCTCTGGGACTACAGAATTTTCTGGTAGTGCCCTGAGTCACCACTGCCCTTCTCTCACTGGGAGAGGGGGGACAGCTCAGGCAAAGGCTGTATTGACATAATCAGTGCAAAACTTTGGCTGTGTGGAAAACAGCCTGAGCCATTAATCCCAGCTCTCAACCCTCTGCCCCAGCTAGCAGAGGAAGCCCGATCTTGGTAAGCCCGAGGCGAGGTCTGTCTCAAATATGTAGGACTCTGTCTCAAAAACGAAAACGTTTCATCATTGCCCATCTGAATTTTAGATTCAAGTTCACATCTTGCACTTCATTTGAGCTGACAGCCCTACCAGCCTGAAACCCAGGGCTGCTTAACTCGGAGCCCTTGCTTCATTTCCTGTCCCCCTGTCACTTCCCGGCAATTTCAGAAATGGAGAACTTCATCGCTCCGGTCAGGCAGCCATTGCATGGTGGCTCAGACCTTCTGGAGACCTTTTCCTCTTTCTTCCATGCCCTTGGCGCACACCGAGTAGGGTGGGATGCTGAAGTAGACAGGCCCCGCCCCCACCAGCCCGGAGGTCTCGGAGACCTCCACGCTCCGCCCGCCTCCGCTGCGTAGACCCCGCCCCCTGTGCGCAAAGCCTCCGCCCCATCCGACAGGCCCCGCCCCTGCCCCCGGGCTGCGCTGCTCGAGCTTCCATCTAGCAGAAGCTGCGCCCGCAGCACCGCCTCCCACCGGGGTCGGTTCCAGGCCCTCTAGTCGGGCCCACTGGACATGGAGCTCCGAGCAGCGCATCGTGAGCCCCCGGCGCGCCCCAACCTGCCCGTCTGGTTAGCGCGCAGCTTGGGGAGGGGACGGTGGAATCTAGCAGGGTGATAACTCCACATCCTGGCCGCCCCAGGCCTCTCCATTGCACCGCGGTAGAGAGGTGGGATGCATGGGGAAGAAATCCCTGCTCTTGGCTTTCTTTGCCTGCTTTTGACCAAATGGGTGACCTTGGGCCGAGAGCGCCTCCTCTCTGCCTGTCCTTCCCCATCTGCACAATGGCATTGGTTTGGCAGGGTCTCTGAACCCACATCCTTTAGGTTGGGGCACGTTGTCGCATGCTTGGAGAGTTTAAGGCTATTGGTTCCTGGGCCCGTTTGCCTTGACCTGGATCTGTACCCTCTTCCCTTGCCTCAGTTTCCCTCACATCATAGGACCAGCTTCCAGCCTCTCCCATCCCAAGCTCTGGAGACAGCAGCCTCCGGACTGCTGAGGGCGCAGACAGCATGAAGGCCCGGGTAAGTGACATGGAAGAGAGAACGCTCACTGGGGATTTGGGGGCAACCTGGGCAGAGCTTGGGGGCAACCTGGGCAGAGCTTCGCAGCCACCTTCCCATGCCAGGAGTTATAGTGATCCTCCCCATCCCTTTTGGTGCTGGGGATGGAACTCAGAGCCATGCACATGCTGAGCACACACCCCGAACAGAGCCCCACCCACAGCCCCGGTGGGCGCCCCTGTGCGCCCCTGTGCCACCCCTGCTCCTGAGTCTTTGTGACCCCAGGCGAGTGATTTCCGGTTCCCCTTTTGGTTTCACTTTTTGCTCTTCTCACCTGAAATGGAAGTAAGGGTACAATGTCACTCAGTGGAGGGGATGAGACTGCATGATGGTGAGCCCCTTGAATGTTGGGGTGGGGAGATTTAATCACTGCCTGAGTCAAGGTCACTGGTCCCTTGTGGGCAGGGGACCAATTGCTATGCAGAGCCCGAAGCCTCGGGGGCTGTGAACCCTGTCTCCTGGACAGCTGGCCACACAGAGAAGACTTATTTTTAGAAGCTGATGTGGCTTGTGGACAGACAAGGAAGGGTGGGCCCCTGGCAGGATGTGCCAGGGGCTGTTCCGCACCTCTGGTTTCTGGGCATACTGGCCAGCTCTTAGTGCCTCCTCTGGAATGGCCCTGGCCTAGAAAATCGTAGCTCCGAGAGTCACGGGTATCGAGATGGATGGCCCAGCAGACAGTGACCTGAGGCATGACTCCTTCAAAGCTTGCTGGGCATTTCCAGTGAGTGCGTAGGTAGCCACCCCAAGGTGAGAGAGCCAGAGGGTTATCTCCAGTGGCCTTTGGTGTATCGTTTCTAGAATTTAGAATGACCGAGCAGAAACAAGCGTTCCAACCATTGAAAGCATATTCCTGTTTGGTTTTGGTTATTGAGACAGAATCTCAGTCTGTAGCCTGGACTAGCCTGGAACTCACTGTGTAGCCCAGGTTAGCCTCAAACTTGTAGCAGTCCTGCCTCAGGCAAGGGATGAGCTGCCATGCTTGGAGATATCTCTCTAATCTATCTAGATGATGGGTGGTCGTGAGACATCCTACGTGAGCTCTTGGGACCTGGTGCAAGTGCAGAATGCTCTCATCCCCACTCAGCCTCCTTCCTATCCCTTGAAGGCATTTCTTAAAAGATGCCTTCCCCCAAGTCCCCATCCACCTCCTATACTGCCCACCCAGATCCTAGCCAAGGGGACACACTGGGCCAGCTGGGGGCGGCCGGGGTGATGGAGGTGGGGCCATGAGGGCAGTACTAGCCCGGGCTGAAGGCCATCGAGACCCCAGACTCCAGCGTGTATCTGGGTTCTGGGTGAGAATTTGGGTTCTGCAGTTTGGATTTACGACTCCAGCCTGTACCCCGCACCCTTGTGTGTGGCCTTGAGCAGTATGTAGGCTTCATCCCAAGTGGGTGTCCTGACCTGGAAGAGGGGCTTTAGAGAGTTACCTGTAGTCTCAAGGGCCAAGAGCTGGGCATCCCTGATGAAGGTCTCATCAACAGAGATTGAATTCTACTGGAGAGGTTCTACACAGGGAGGCTGGGTGCTCTCCACAAGCACCGCACAGGCCCGTGACCACTGTCTCTTTCAGGGCCGCCTTCTGCTCCTCGTACTGTGCACCTTGGCATTCTCCGCCGTCTACATCTTCCTGTGCTGCTGGGCCTGCCTGCCCCTCTGCCTGGCAACCTGCCTGGACCGCCGCCTCCCTGTGGCACCCAGACCCACTGTGCCAGGGCCCCTGCACTTCAGTGGCTACAGCAGCGTGCCAGACGGAAAGGTGAGTCAGCCGGGAAACGCTAAGGAGGCCCGCGTGTCCCCAGCTCTGGGGAACACTGAGAACTGGGCAGCTGGCAAGACGGCCTCGACTCTGAGCACGACATCTCTGCTCACCAGCCACTGTGTGACTTCTGCCAGTCACTTGACCAACCTCTCTGAGCACTCAAGGAGGAAGTATGGTTTGCACTAAGCAGACGCTGCCTGGCTACTTCCAGCTACATGCTGGGATGGAAGGGTAGCTGCCCACTTGGGAGTGCCGTTGTGTGTCAGTGTATACCTTTAGACTTGTGTGTCTCCACACCGTATGCTCAGCAAACATGGCTTGGCCCCTGCACTGTACCTGTCATTGTGTGGCAGCTGAGGGTAAAGAGCCAACACAGGTCAAGCTTATGTGTGGTCCCAGGACTCACGAGACAGGGACACTGGAGTCCAAGAGTGACAGGACACCCGTGGCTCCTGTCCCCATAGTTGCTCTACCTGGTGTGGCAAAGGGACATTCCCATCCTTGACCTCATAGCAGTGACCCTGTGTGTCACCCACATTCAGCAGCTTCCTAACTCCATCTCATCTAGTTCTTGACGCTGAAATTCTTTCTTGGTTGGATGGCTCTTAGTCGGCCCCAGGGGCATGCTTAGCACTGGCTTGCTGGAGACGTGTGGGTCCTCATCCCTCGGAGTCTCCGCCACCTCGTCATCTGTAAAGGACCGTTCCTGCCTGTGTTGGGCTGCTTCGAGATTCAAAGGGTGACTGGCAGACGTGGGCATAGCTGATAAAGGGTGGAAGTTGCTGGGGTGGGCCGGGGCTGTAGCTCAGTCTAGAGTGTTGCTTGTGAGCAAGGTTGGGTGCTAGGTTCAATCCCCATGATCCCAAAGCAAACCAAACCAAAGCATAAGACTCCTGGGGGTGTTAACTCTCCACTCCCCCAGGATGGCCAAGTGGGACAGATGCCAGGTGTGCTGGGTGGACACTGTCCAGTCTGCCGTGATGTGACCAGAGTTCTTTTAGACACTTAGGCCTCACAGAACATTTTCTTTGCGTGTGTGTGTGTGTGTGTGTGTGTGTGTAGAGGTCAGCCTTGGTTTCTCAGATGTTGTCCACCTTTATTTATTTTATTTTATTTTTTGAGACAGGATCTCTCACTACCTGGAATTAAGTCAGCTAGACTGGCTAGTGAGTCTTAGGGATCTACCTGTCTCTGCCCCTCGTAGTGCTGGGATTACTAACTCATGCCATGGTGCCCAGCTCATGCACTTACTTACCCTTCCTTCCTTCCTTCCTTCCTTCCTTCCTTCCTTCCTTCCTTCCTTCCTTCCCCGCAAGGACTGGAGATTGAACTCAGGTTCTTATTTCGCCACGGAGAACTCTCCCCGGCCTCCTTTTGTTTTTCTTAAGTGGGAAATCCAGACATGGAATGTCAACAGAGATAC